ATGCAACCACCCAAATATAATACTGATTCACTTTAGAAATAATAACGATGCCTACATTGTAGAAGCTCTTCACAAAATATGCGGAATCAAAATCATCTTAATCGTATGAATGACAAAATAATCAAAGGCAAATGCCGAGTAGAAGAAGGCTACCATGTCAGCCTTCCAAAGAAGGGAGACAAAGGTATATATGAGAACTGGAATCGTGTCCTTCTCCTGTCCACATCAAGCAAAATATTAGGCCACATCATCCTAGAAAGACTAAAAATTGCTCTGCATTCAAAATTACAACCAAAACTACCTGGCTGGTTGCCTACCTCGCTTCACCAAAAACAAATCATATGCACATCAAATTGCAACACCACGCTACTCTACGCATCATCATACAATAAAACATAGAATGCAAGTCAACTGAATCTTCACCTCAACTTCATCGACATTCAAAAGGCCTTCGATAGCGTCAAACGACAAGTGATTTGACAGCTGCTGGCCTCAACAATACGGTCTCAGTGTCACAAATCCATATCAAACTCACTGAACAGCAACTATATACCACACGAGGATGCTACATGGCAAGTGATTCACAATGATAAGCTCAGCTCAGTGATGCCTTTCAAGTGGAGTGAAGTGAAGTGAAGACAGGAAGGTGCGAGACAAGATTACCACCTACTATCATCACCACCACTGATCTTCCTGATTGTGGACGACTGAATTCAGTTGGAGTGGATCATGCAACAGACAACTGTGAGGAGTGAGAAGATGGACATAGACTGTTTGAGAAGACCGATGAAAAGATCGTAGAAGATTTGGATTTCTCCGATCATGATTTATGTTAGATGTGTTGTGGCACAAACTCGAAGATCTTTAAGCGAAAACCTCCAAGTTGGCAGGAGAGGAAGAGAGTGAATGTATTAAAGACAGAGGTGATGAAGATACCCAATCACCACCACCACCACCATCACCGACACCATCATCATCATCATCAACAACAACAAGGAGTGGCAATCACCATGAATGGGAGTAATCTGAAGGAAGTTGTCTCTTTCACCCACCTACCTAGACAGCATTGATTCAACTACGGTTGGTGGTGACGGCACAGATGATGAAGTGAAAGTCAGGATCGGGAAGACACCAAGACAGACCTTCGTAAACCTGAAATCAATGTGGAGATCTACTCCACTCCACTCCACTGCAATGCAATGCACTCAGCATCAAGTGTGAACAACATCCGGATTTTCAACACTGATGTCAGTGAAGTCAGTCAGTGTGTCTATGTGATGGTTGAGAGAGTTGGCGTGTCGCCAAGAGCATTTCGACAGACTAAAGACCTACATGATCAACAGCTGATGCCTGCCTACACTGACTGGATAGTGAAGATCAGATGAGATGGATTTTCAGAATAGTAAGAACAAGCAAGAAGTAACTGTGGCTGGTTGGCCGGTTGGCTGGCTGGCAACGAACCAACGAAGCAATAACCCGTCGTCCAACAAATGTGTAGAAGAAAGTGGAGATGGATTGGATTGGATTGGATAGGATTGGACATAGACTGAGAAGACTGATTGGGGACATCACACACCAGGTCAGGTGAGGTGCTTGAGTGGAAGCCAGATGGGAATCGACGAGTTTGGTGTTGTGTGCGAGGGTGATATGTAAGAGATTGTGTGAGGAAGAAGTGAGAGGTTCTGGAGAGTGATGGAGCCTTGTTGAAGAGACTGCAGAGAAGAGAGTGAAATGGAGGCGTGCTACTGAAGCCATGCGTTCCATTGGGAACCCAAGAGACAAATAACAATAATAAGAAAACTATGAGCACATGCGTTTATACAAACCTCAATCTGTAATTCATACACTCATTATACCCAATATATCATGTTTATCAGCAATTTGATAACACAGAACCCCTTGACCGAAAATAATCTCAGGGCACTAGACAACTGTCTCGTCCTGACATGGGACTCCTCAGCTGTAAGCACCCGCCGCCCTGCCTCTGCAGGAATCAAACTCAAGTCTCTCAGCAAACATGTTTACATTCAGTCAGCGCGCTGAATTTTAGTGATGCACAGTTTCCTCGTTCCATCAATCCATATGGTATAAAGCAACTGTCCACTAAGTTCTTCAACTAACATCCTTCTCGACTCAGATCAGTTGATCCTATAGGTCACAATTTCTCATATGAACTTCACAATGTATATCTCAAGTTTATACAGATTTTATTTATTTCACGGCAGTATTTATCATATAGGTGTGTACTAAACTAAGATGAAACAGTCATCAAGTTCTCCCTGATGACTACTAGCTTGAAATCAATAAATCTCCATAAATCTCAAACTCAAGGAGATGATAGTTATCAAAAAACAACCTTGTTTTATCTTACATTCAACTTAGAACTAAAATTCCAATGTAATGAATGAGTATTTATATGTCCAGTAAAGCAAACAGACTGATTGAATATTCATTTACAACGTTATATATCTCTGATATTAACCTCGCCTGGTTAACTAGTTCACTAGTTACTAGCCAGTCCTAAGCCCCGTAAAGAGGGAAGGTTGGGCATAGGGCTAGCATCCCTTCCCCGGAAAACAAATCCAACCGCCACAGAAGCTTCAAAGCACAAACAAAACATAAAAAATAAAAACAAACTGATTCCTCATTGGAATCGGAGAGGCAAAATGATGTGGGTTAGTGAAAGCCTTCGGGAGGCCAACTGGCCGATGTTTCTTCCCTCCCTCGATGAAAGAGAAAGTAAGCGTGGGGACATGGAATGTCCGCACCATGTATGAACCTAGCTGGCAATGCTGCCCAGATTGCAAAAGAAATGAGAAGGTATGGCATGGAAGTGCTAGGAATCTGCAGATAGAATGGAAGTGGACTCTACAAACTACCAACTGGAGAGCCAATAATCTAGTCCGATATTGTCACCCACACAACAACCACGAAAGAGCACATGGAGGGGGTGGCTATCATGATGTCCCCTTGAAGAGTATCGAAGGCTCTCCTCTCATGCAATGGGAACCAATCTCCTCCAGGATCATGACACCAAGATGGATTCAACTCAAAAGGAAGGAAGGTCACAATCATACAATGCTACGCTATGCACCTACAAATAATGCAGATCAAAAGAAGAAGAAGGAGGAGGAATTCTACAGACAACTGCAATCAACACTCGACAAGACCCTACCCCAGTTGGCCACATCAAAATTCTAATGGGTGGGGTGACATGAATGCCAAACTGCAGGGAGCGGACAACACTGGAAAAAAACTAACCATGGGTCGAGAAGCGCTCGGTGAGGTGATGAACGAGAATGGAGAATTGTTTGCAGAAAGGTTACCTCATCAAACTCCCGAAGAAGGGAGACCTAAGTCTTTGGAAGAACTGGCGAGGAATCACTCTCCTGTCCACCCGGAGCAGGCAAAATATTAAGCCACATCATTCTGGAGAGGCTAAAGGATGCACTGGATTCAAAACTACGACCTGAACAGGCAGGATGGATTCAGGAAGTACAAATCATGTGTGGACATGATATTCCTGATTGTGGTGCACTGGACTGGACCGTGCAGCAAACAGTGGGTAGCGAGAAGAGGGGTATACGCTGGCTGGACTGTGGAAAAGAACCTAGAAGATTTGGATTTCACCGTCGATGACTTGTGCCTGATGTCACATAAACTTGAAGATCTACAGGTGAAAACTAACAAGTTGATAGAAGAGGTAGGGCAGTGAAGGAAGACGAGACTTGAAGTGAATGTAGGAAAGACAGAGGTGATGAAGATACCGCACCACCACCACCACCACCACCACCAACAACAACAACAACAACAAACTCCAATCACCATCAACGGGAGAAATTTAGAGGAAGTAACCTCCTTCATCTATCTAGGCAGCACTGTTTCAACTACAGGCGGTGGCGGCACAGACGAGGTTGTCAAAGCCAGCCAGGATTTGAAAGACAGCAAGACAGGCCTTCATTAGCCTGAAACCAATGTGGAGATCTTCTGCACACAGCATGTGGAACAAGATCCGGATTTTCAACACCAACTTCAGTCAAGTCAGTACTTCTGTATGGTTCAGAGACTTGGCGCGTTACGGAAGGGATTTCCAATAAACTACAGACATTCATCAACAACTGCTTACGCTGGCTCGCTACTGAAGATCAGATGGATGGCCAGAAAGAATAAGCAAGAAGGAGCTGTGGGAACAAACCAACCAAGAACTTATCAGGCAACAAATATGCAGGAGGAAGTGGAGATGGATTAGGCATGCACTGAGAAGGCCGACTGAGGACATCACGCGTCAGGCCAGTTGCTCGAGTGGAACCCCGATGGGAAGCGACGAGTTGGATGTCCGAAGTGAGTGTGACATGGAGGAGATCGCGTTAAGAGGAAATGAGAGCTTCTGGTCTGTCGTGGAGGCAGGTTGAAAAGATTTCAGAGAAGGGAGGTCACTGGAGACGTGCTACTGGAGCCCTATGTTGCATTAGGAACCCAAGGGACTAATAATAATAATAATGTCATTGATATTATTGACTGAGAATGGAATTAAGTCAATCAGCCAGCCAGTCAGTCAGTCAGTTAGTCAGGAAGGCAGTCAGCCATCGATCGATACATCATTTTAAGATCACACGTTTTCTTCAAATGAATATGAATGCTAAAGTTACTATCATCATTCTGATTCTTATAAATGGATAATATAATGGGTAAAAAGCCACAAGTAGATGTTAAATTGTAAGACTACAACATAAAAAGAAAGGGATAATTCAGACTTCGATTTCAATCCCTCCGATTCAACACAACATGATGACTACTATCCATCGGCAAAACAATCGGTATCAAGAACTAGAACGATAAGCCTACGGTCATAAATATCATCACCAACAACTAAGATATCTGTATAATAAATATCTATTTGTTCATCAATATTTTTTAAAGTATACAGATTTATCAAAAGTAGAGTATCTGTTGATGATATCGAAGTGAAGCATGCATCGAGTCATCTATTGCTTTCTATCGTTTTATTCTACTATTCAGTCTGATAACACTTGTATTACTGTTATTGCTTGTATTACACTGTCGTTGATTCGACCGAATTGGTCAGTCTCTATTGACATATGGGCTCCTGTGAGGAATCCAAATAGGATGAAATGTGCATCCTGGATTCCACTGTTATTCACCATCCACCTTTACTATAACTTGTATTACTCTTAACCATTTCAACAATATTCTCGTAAAACAATGCGTACAGAGTATACATTAATCAGTATGTGCATTTTACTGTTACACTTTTAATCACTTTACTTATTACATTTTTAATAATTTTATCTTTTACAAATATAATGGACACTTAAGCATTTTTAAATAAGAAAAACATATGGATACTTTCAACAACTTTTTGAATGATTATATATAATATAATATTGAACAATATTTATTGTGATTTAAAGATCATATTTTTTAAACGGAATTTATTCGCGCCCAAGAAAATTCAACATTCAATTGTTGAAAATGAAGAAGATAAACAAAACATACAATGTTTATAATACAGTAAAGAATAATTTAATATATTGTAAATTCTTGGAATTAATTCTAACAGTTCGTATATTTTTATTATTTATATCCTTTTCATTTAAATTTGTTGAATTTATCAATACATAATAATTTGCATAAAGGATAATATATTCTTTATGCAAATTAATTAAAGCATCTCTATAATCGATTAATATATCACGATAATCACAATGTAAACAAATACACTTTTTTTTAGCGATTAAATGATTCATAAACCATAATTTAATTCTTTCCCATTTTAATGTAGTCATTTTTTTATTAATATACAAACGTATAATTTCTAGATAAGGTTCAAGCGTTTTACGAAATATCCATTCATTGTTTTGTGCATTTAATTTTTCGTTTAAATGTTCAATGTCATAATAAAATTTAACTAGACTTAATACATATTGAGTATTGAATTCATTTTGTTTTACTACTTGTACAGGATGATGACTATTATTATTATTATTATTATTATTATTATTATTATTGATGTAAATGATATTTCCATCTGTAGAGATTGTGTCAGCATAAAATAATTTATGATAATCATCATGTAATAAAGCGTACTCTTTATACAATTCATCTAATGCATTAGTCATTGGTTGAATTAAATAACTGAATTCACATAAATGATAACATTTACATGGAAAGGATAATGTTTTATTCTTTCTTAAAGCTTTACGTACAGACTGTTCTTCGAGTAGAATATACTTGACATCACGATAGATATGTGGACGGAACATTTCAACCATAACACGGAGATTATCATCTTCCGTTAAATTATCAGTTGTTGAACTATCATAATTATCGTTATTCATAGTTGTATCAGTATATTGTGTACGACTCTTATGAATACTGTGACTGTATCCACCAATAGGATAAGTAGTAGCATCACTATTACTTCTGACTTTTCGTTCTTGTGAAGCTTCTCTGGATAGTTTCATAATACTTTTTTCTTTACTAAAAAGAAAAATTAACTTTTTGAATTATTGATCATAAGTCACCTACTTGATCATATTTCAAAATGATTGGTTGGATTCAAGTGTCAACAAGATGAAATTGCTTGATTTATAGCAACTAATTAGGTTTTGATGAATACTACTTATAATACTATATATCAGTAGTGTGTCACATCATCGGAAAACACAAAAAGTGATAACTAGTGACTGATGAAGCGTCAGTATTTTTATTAATCTACTCGTATATTGGACTTCTGTTTAACAACAAAAAGAAGACGCTCTTGAAGACCAAGTTGTGGCACTAACTCCTCAAGGATATAATTTTCAATAAGAACCACATAAAAATAATCTAGATGGGTTCTACACGACATAAGCATAGGCACTATAGTTCCTTCTTAAACAGTCTTAAAGAATGTTATTCTTTGTTTCCAGTCATCAATATAAAACTCTTTCAGAAAAGTTAACAAAAGGACCTAAAACATGCATTGCTTCCTCCTTTTGATTCATCAGTTAGATGTACCTCTGCACATCAGTGAGTAATGTTGTTCCCCTTTAGCTTTCAATCTAGTCCTCTTTGCTCTTAATACCAAAGTGTCTCAGTGAAAACAGTATCACTCGCTGGGAAGTACATACATCTAACTGATGAGTTCGAAGTGGGTTAAAAGGCATATCTTCGATCCCACCGTAAGCTACCAAATGGAATACAGAAGAATCTTAAGTATAAATTACTTTAGACAAATATTCAGTATTTCAATGATTAAGCGATCTCTTCATTATATGAGCTATGAAAACGGTTTTACCACCCTACTTTCTCTTACTAGTACAGTCTAACTGGGAATGTGCATAGAACGCAATAACTTGTATATTCTTCAATTTACTCAATTTCTCACTCCTAAAATCATGGACATCTAAGGAAGAGAATTTATTATTATCATTATTATTATCTAACATCGGTTCCAAGTGGAACGCATGGCTTCAGTAGCACGCCTCCATTTCACTCTCTTCTCTGCAGTCTCTTCAACAAGGCTCCATCACTCTCCAGAACCTCTCATTTCTTCCTCACACAATCTCCTATATATCACCCTTCCACCCCACCCCCCACCCAACGCCAAACTCGTCGTTTCCCATCTGGCTTCCACTCAAGCGCCTCACCTGACCTGGTGTGTGATGTCCCCAATCGGTCTTCTCAGTCTATGTCCAATCCCATCACATCCAATCCAATCCATCTCCACTTTCTTCTGCATATTTGTTGGACGATGGGTTCTTGCTTCGTTGGTTCGTTGCCAGCCAGCCAACCGGCCAACCAGCCACAGTTACTTCTTGCTTATTCTTACTATTCTGACAATCCATCTCATCTGATCTTCACTATCCAGTCAGTGTAGGCAGGCATCAGCTGTTGATCATGTAGGTCTTTAGTCTGTCGAAATGCTCTCGGCGACACGCCAACTCTCTCAACCATCACATACACGCACTGACTGACTTCACTGACATCAGTGTTGAAAATCGGATGTTGTTCACACTTGATGCTGAGTGCAGTGCGGTGCAGCTCAGTGCATTGCATTGCAGTGCAGTGGAGTGGAGTGGAGTAGATCTCCACATTGATTTCAGGTTTACGAAGGTCTGTCTTGGTGTCTTCCCGATCCTGACTTTCACTTCATCATCTGTGCCGTCACCACCACCCGTAGTTGAATCAATGATGTCTAGGTAGGTGGGTGAAAGAGACAACTTCCTTCAGATTACTCCCATTCATGGTGATTGCCACTCCTTGTTGTTGTTGTTGATGATGATGATGATGGTGGCGGTGATGGTGGTTGTGGTGGTGGTGGTGGTTGTGGTGATTGGGTATCTTCATCACCTCTGTCTTTAATACATTCACTCGAAGTACCCTCCTCTCTGCCTCTCCTGCCAACTTGTAGGTTTTCGCCTACAGATCTTCGAGTTTGTGCCACAACACATCAAACATAAATCATGATCGGAGAAATCCAAATCTCCTACGATCTTTTCATCGGTCTTCTCAAACAGTCTATGTCCACCTTCTCACTCCTCACAGTTGTCTGTTGCATGATCCACTCCAACTGAATTCAGTCGTCCACAATCAGGAAGATCAGTGGTGGTGGTGATCATAGTAGGTGGTAATCTTGTCTCGCACCTTCCTGTCTCCACTTCACTTCACTTCACTTGAAAGGCATCACTGAGCTGAGCTTATCATTGTGAATCACTTGACATGTAGCATCCTCATGTGGTATATAGCTGCTGTTCAGTGAGTTTGATATGGATTTGTGACACTGAGACCGTATTGTTGAGGCCAGCAGCTGTCAAATTACTTGTCGTTTGACGCTATCGAAGGCCTTTTGAATGTCGATGAAGTTGAGGTGAAGATTCAGTTGACTTGCATTCTATGTTTTATTGTATGATGATGCGTAGAGTAGCATGGTGTTGCAATTTGATGTGCATATGATTTGTTTTTGGTGAAGCGAGGTAGGCAACCAGCCAGGTAGTTTTGGTTGTAATTTTGAATGCAGAGGAATTTTTAGTCTTTCTGGGATGATGTGGCCTAATATTTTGCTTGATGTGGACAGGAGAATGACTCGGTCCCGGCTCTTGCAATGTTATAGCTCGATCTATAAAAGTGATAGATATTTCTTTGAGAATTCTAGTATTTCCTTGAAAACACTCTGCTGTGTAAAGATAATAATGACAATTATACGCAGAAAAAAGTCGAAGAGATTCTGTTGATTTCAGGATTTAGTCTATTTCGCTTCAGACTATATGAAGCTGAAACTTCACAGCTTCTTTAATACACCTCATTCACTTTCATTGGAGATTACATCATGCAATTATCTGAGAATAACAAATTGTACAGCAACAATACACAGTGGTTATCTTAATCATCTATATCCTGCATCACTTAGCTGAATTCTGATTGATATCGTCTTCGATCCAACCACATAACATTAAATCGTCATATTTCTAGCCACTTAGAGCCCATTACGTCATTCCAGATTCGTCTGACAGAAATATATCTTTGATAAGAATTATTTAACAGTTCGATTTGTCAGGTTTCAAGTAACTAAGTAGTTACTTGAGGAAAATTAGTTTAAAATGTCGTTTTTTTTATTCATTAATTATTAAAACTCTGTGTTGTGACTGATAGTAATTTCTCAAATAATTTTACACAGTTTATCGTAAAACTAAACAAAATTATCTTTATGAAAAAATTTACTACCCAAATGTTAATGAATAATTAACCAGGTGCACAAAGGAGTAAAGTATATCCAACTGTGATTTTCTCTTCACTGAATACAAATGAAACTATTAGTAAAGGTGACGTATTTGTATGAATAAAAGCTGAGATAAAAACGCCTCAGTTTACCTTCTGTCTCCTGTTAACATTTATATTATAGACTGCCTAACGCATACTTAGAGAAAGCAAATGTTTGGTTAAACTGTAACTCAAGGTTATGCACAAGAATTGTCCTTAATAAGATAACCAATAGGATTGAAGCGACTCATCTGACTAGTCACCTGTCTACTTTCGAATATTTTATGATAGCTTTAAAGTCATACTTATTTGACTTATGATCGATTCATAAATTTAAGCATTTTATTTTCATCTCATTCAGTTCACCACTAGACTGGTGAATCAAAGTAGATACTTGCAAACAAATGACAAACGTTAAAGCAATGCAGAAGACGTAGTGGAAATTATACATAATCTCTCCAGTGTGGTATTCAGTGAAGGTCATGAGAGAAATCACACCTTTTTCAATGAAAATAGTCAGTTGAAATTCATGAGTTCGATGGTGTCTAGCATTGGTATCCAAGATGTTTTCGTCATCCAGGTCAGAAGACACCAGGTGTGGGCTGGTGTCCCTATTGACGTTTCTCTATAAAATTCAGACTTTTATCTAATGGGCTACTGAGTTAAAATGTCAGAATCTTGTTTACTAGGAGTGTTGATCGTTCCCGTTGATATGGTATGTCTATTCTTCATACTGATGCCCTAATATTACTTGTACTAATTATAGCACTTTGGCATTTTGAATAATCGGTCATAAGCTCAAGTTATAGGGCCAACATCAACAGTGATGTAGAAACATCCATCTAACGAGCTCCGATAGTTAATTAACACGCACTATGGATACTATAAGACCAACAATTAATCACAGCCAATATCAAGCTAATCATTCGTACAAGAAGCCTATTGACAATAGTAACTGATGAATTCAGTTCCATTAGTAGTAGTAACTACTCTGATACATTAAGGCTTTCAGTCGTTTAAAGTTCTTGAAAATCATCTATTTCCTGTTATATATAATCAATAATGCAGGGATTTGGTAGTACTTCTGTTCCCAAATATTGAAATTGTTCAGGTGAATAATACACAAATAGATTGAATAGAAGGTCCAAATTAAACACTTCCCAGACAATCAGAAAACATACTGGTTACCATTCAATGTTTATTGATTATTTTGTGCCTGAAATCAATATCTTTCTCATTGAATCCTTCTATCATATATATACAGATTAGCTGTAAAGACTCTTGACTCTGTATTGAACAATCTGCATACAAAAACTACAGGTCACTATTGATCTAAGCAGTCACCTTTCAACCAATGGGTCTTAGGGTTCGAACCCTACTCCACCAATCGAAGTTTAGGCAGTTCCGCTATATCATTAAGTGTAACTCATGACCTACTACATAGATGTTGACACGAAGGAAGACATGTCTTAGTGTCTTTCCGATCCTGACTTTCACTTCATCATCTGTGCCGTCACCACCAACCGTAGTTGAATCAATGATGTCTAGGTAGGTGGGTGAAAGAGACAACTTCCTTCAGATTACTCCCATTCATGGTGATTGCCACTCCTTGTTGTTGTTGTTGATGATGATGATGATGGTGGCGGTGATGGTGGTTGTGGTGGTGGTGGTGGTTGTGGTGATTGGGTATCTTCATCACCTCTGTCTTTAATACATTCACTCGAAGTACCCTCCTCTCT